TTTATTTTTTCCAGACAACGCATTAACTTCTGTGTTTTTTTGCAAATAGAAGTCCATCGCCACAGGTAAAGCATTTTGCTCGTCAATTTTAGCGGAAACCAATTCGTTGACGCACATAAAGCTGTTCAAAAGAAAACGTCGGCTTACAATGCGCATTTTTCTTTAAGCTAATTTTATACCAGTACTGTAGCATAGGAACATTGTGTTGAGTGCTTTCTGTTCGGTTCTAACTTCAGAAATTTTTTTGGAATGGGTCAACCTGCCAAAGAAAAATAGAACCCGTGGACATCAAAGTTGAAAAGAAATAAAATTCGCAGTTTTGTATGTTATGTTAACGCTTGGTCGGATGGAGACTAGTAGCACTAAAGGGGGGAGAGGGAGAGAGAGAGAGAGAGGGGTAGTGGACTCAGTTGACAGCAAAAGTGATACAGTATATTGCAAAGGTCGGACAGACCGGGCGAGTGGTGAAACAGCGAAAGGAGAGCGACGAGGTGTGGGAGAGGGAGGTGGGAGGGGGGTTGGGGTGGTCCATGAGCTTATCGTTAACAGTTGAGGAGCAGAAGCTGGGAGTCCAGCGGTCGAGTGGAATAGGACGCGGTCTCGTGTGCTCATGTGTGAGGGTCAGGCATTGTGAGCAGCGGGGAGGTTGTGGAGGACCATGTGTGCATGTATGGAGGTTGGCGAGGGGGGGATAGACCGATAAGTCTTTTTTGGCACACGGCATACGGTAAAGAATGCTCGACAGCGCTGTCGACAGCAAGGCACGGCGAAATCCAGCAATGCGTGCGAGGGCTTTTGCGGTGGTGTGACAGAAATGTTAATGTACCCTTCAAGGGTACCGTACCCTTCGAAGGGTAGAGATCCAATTTTATAATCTTTTTTATCAGGGCACTGGTGTGGTGCGTTGCCAGCAACGGAATCGGAACGTCAAGTTGCTGGCAGCTCCAGCAATGAGTCCTGCATGGATGGACACCCTCAATACTGCAGTATGATTGGATGATGGATAGTGTGGTGGAAAGGTGGAGCCAGTAAGGTCATGCATTGCTGTCCTGTCGTGTAAGGCTCGTACACTGTTATGACAATGCCCCCGATCCTTATTGCCTGTGCCCTCCTTCCCCTCGCCTAGCTAGTGCCTACCCGCCTACCCATACCGTAGCTCAGGTTTCTTTGTCCGCGGCTATTAGGATAGTTAGGATAGGATAACATATCCCCCATGCTGGCTGTATACTGTACCGTTGGTACTGTAGCCTGAGCATAATGAGGTTTCAGACAACTTGTACCCAAGGGCACCATAACGGTACCCTTGGTACAAGAACTTGTACAGTACCGTATTCCTTCCGTATTCCTTCGTGCATGTTCCCATGCCGTGCTCAGCGACTCCCCCCCAGTGGCAGCTGCGTGTGTGTCTGTATGTGTGTCTATGTGTGTGCCACCAGTTTGGGCAGCTTTCGGGGATCGATGACGGCGTCGGCAGGGAGCGAACGAAGCTTGTCCAGTCATTCTTCTTCTCCTGTTGTGCTGGCAACAGCAGTACAACCCCTTTCCGAGAAGAGACCACCTCCCTCATTGCTATGTAGCAACGTTCCTCCTGAAGCAGCCACGTCACAGAAATAACACCCTTCCCTGTTTTAATTTAAATTTGCACATATACTTCTCCCGATGCCTCGATTTTGTTGTGTCCAATTCGAATAGCCATTTCCTGGCTTGCACCCCCCATCACCCCTCCTCCATCCTTTCATGCCCTTTCATGCCCTTTCATTCTCATCGCGCAACACGCAGTTTGGCTTGTGTATTCCGCCTGGCCAGACAGACACCACACCTTGTTGCAACCCGCTCTCCCGTCATAGATCTTCCCAATTCACACCCACCTCTCCTCGAGGTCGCGACGGGAACCATTACTGTCTGTACCAAGGGTGGGTACAGTACCGTTGGTACAGTACATCACCCGCAGGCCACGCCCACATACCAATTCCTCGCCCCTACTTCAAAACGAGTCCTTTGTTTTGGACATGTTCCTGTACTATATTCTCAAGCATTCAGCACAAATTGCCTCTTCATTCGCGAACTGTTACAATTTGTAGAAATTTATTACTCGGTGCCACGCTGCATTCTTGTCACAAGCTCAACCCCCCTCCACTGCAGCCTCCAGCACAACCACACCAACCTTGCTTCCTCTTCCCCATCCTATCATATGTAACCTCACCGAAAACTCAAAGCCATCATGTCAACCCTCTAGCCATTCCATTCCAGTCTAGTCTCCAATAAAATCCCCTATTCCCACCAAAACACATTACAGTTGCTTTACCTTTCACTCCTGGGCCTACGTGCCAATCGTCCTAAACTTCCCTTAAATGCTTTTTTTCGCAACAAACGACCACTCCTTTCAAAACACTCTTTAGACTACGCTCCTTTGATTACCCCTGAACTTAGCTCTGCCATCCCCGCCTCCTCGTACCAACCTATGATGCACCACTTATCAGATCATTTCTTCAGACAGTAGCCATGTCTGTCTACAATGCCGTCACGGTGCAGCTTCCTGCCCTTCCTTAGGAGTGGCCTTTTTTTCAAAATGACTTTCTTCCCCGCTCTCTCATAACAACAAATCACTATTCATAGGCCACTAACCGCAGCGACGTTGCCTTTCATCTTTGTTGACCAAGACACGCATACATTCTTAGGAAAGAAACACCTCGACTTTCTCATACATGTTGTCCAAGCACATCCATGCCACCATCTTCTGAACTGTAGCAGACGCATAGGGGACTTGTGATTCCCATTTTATTCTCGAGATTTGAGGAAGAATTCCATCTCCTTGCGGACTCTATTAAAAAGGTCTTCCCTCACCAGAAGCTAGAAGTTAGAATCACAACATCTTTTCCTCTGCGCTTTTTTTTTTCTCAGAAAAGCTCATCCGCTCTGACAGCAGAGCAATCCCTTTTTCCAGCGAACAAGACAGTTAATTTTTCTGCCTGCCCCAGGCCCCTCCCTTTGGCGCTGTCCAGATTCAAGCCTCAATTTTCGCCAGTCAGGAAAAATCAAACAGGCCTCGCTCATCTTGCTTTTATATAGCGTGTATCTTCAAGCAGTTCCTCGCTTTCTGCTCGGATGAGCGCGTCAAGACACCCAAAAAGGCCCCAAAGATCTTTCGACCCACCAGAAGACATATTTTCCAGACAAATTGGCCCTTCTTCTTCTAGTTCACGAACCGGGGCTCGCAGCAGTGAGATGGGAAGAACCTCTTCCAGCAGCTACTGGTCTACCGTGATTGACCGACATCAGTGTGACGGCTGCGGAAGCCACTATAATAATAAGCGGGAGTTGGAGTTGCACAGTACTACTTGTCAGGGCAATGCAAAGCCTTTTGTCTGTCCCGAGTGCCCGACCGCGTTCAAGAAGAACTCGAACCTGGCTAAGCATATGCGCCTCGTCCATCGTGGGGAGAAGAACTTTGCGTGCACGGAGCCAGGATGCGACCGGAAGTTTGGCCAAAAGTCAAACCTCAACAGTCACGTGAAGGCTGTGCATTTGGGCGAAAAGCCTTACGTGTGCGAAGAACAAGGATGCACACGGAAGTTCTCGCAAAAGAGCGGCTTGAAGGCCCACATTAAAACGGTTCACCACCACGAAAGACCGTACAAATGCCACTGCGGCTCATCCTTTGGTCACCGCGGGGACGTAAGTGTAGTACCCTCTACTTTCCGCGTTGCCAGCATTTTTCGTTTCTCGCTCAAATTCGCTTCATGTATCACGTTGCTAACTTTGTGCACGTCCACCAAAATGTTTTCATCCCTCGCCTCCTACCTTTTTGAACATATTGGTGAATTTTGCGGGGACTCGGGTAGTTGAACCGACACATTCGCGTGCTTCATGACAAAGAGCGTCCCTTTGTGTGCCCACAGTGCCCAGATCGGAAGGCGTTTGGGCGGAAATCGGTTTTGATGCGTCACTTGTTAACACACCAATCCGAGCCGAGTTCGTCGTCTACCCGTCGCTAAGACGTGTGCGCGGGATGATGTGAAGCGAGCAGGTTTTGGAACGACGCTCAAAGAATGGAGTACAGCTCGAAGTCGCAAAAAATGGCCGCCGAGACGGGCGCCAGCATTTCATCTAACTGTAGCAGTACAGCTCCACTGTTATCAGATTTCGTCCAAGGGACGGAACGGGTCGTGGGGCGGCTGCGACTAAAACGATCGCAGGATCGACCACTTGTTTATTATTTGCGGTGATACGTTTTTTGCAACCCGGAAAGGGAGTTATGGCAGAGTGAGGAGTACAGGGAAGACAGTAGAATAGCCTGGAAACAGGAACATTGCAGAGAAAAAAAAAAAACCACCCACCCACACACACACACACACACACACCCACACACCCACACCCACGCACATAGAAACGAGGATGGGAGTGATGAAACCACCACCCATTGAGCAAAATTACGTAAGGACAGAGGCATAGATAAAGTCCAGTGCATCCCCAAAGTTAGCTTCCATGTAACCTTGCGATGTATAGCGGTCGAGCATGACGATAAGCATGAGACAGACACACGCGAAAGGTTTTCCCAAATAAGTCGCGATGTCTCATAGAAAAGAGGCAGCAGGGGCGAGCGTACAGGTACAATTCAAAGGTAAAAATGTTGTTGTAAGGGGATGTTTTACTATTTGTGGGTGAAGAAAAAACGGGTTGACAGAGCGGGGGAGGAGGTACTTAGTTTTGAAGGAGGTCGCGAGGATTAATGACTGTTTCAAAAATGTTAAGTGAATCACTCCGTTGTGATGATGGGTAAACGTCTCCGAGGGCCTCACCAAAATATGACACAAGCTACTACTGAGGATGGATGGGTGATGAATTTGATGAGGCGCACAGAGTAATGTCTGTTAAGTGACGGTTAGTTGCGGGGCATGTCACGCTTCTGCGGTGGTGTGCCCGGCAAATGAGAAGCGTCTTGGAGAGCCTCCTTTCGCTGATTTCGAGGTGCGTTCTAGAAACAGGGAAGGCTGGGGAAAAGGTTCAAGTTGGGTCTCCTGTCGGGGAAACTGATTCAGCGGTGCTGAAAAACAAACAAACAAAACGAGCTGATTGGGTAGGGGCGTTACAATGGTACCGTGGCGGGTCCCGCGGGCGGGTCCTCGTTAGCGACGAGACTCAAAAATGTGATCCAGAAGACGCTGACGACCGAGGTGAAAATGACTCGGTGCTGCGGCGGAACAAGCGAGAAGTTGATCAAGTTAATGATGGGCCATACTTTCCAACTGTTAATCATAGTGGAGCGGAAATTGTCCTTCACAAAAGCAAGCGACTTATCAAAGCCAGCGCCCTCAAAGGCCTTGATGAGTCCGAAAAAACCGGCGGTAGCAAACGGGGCGTAGGCGAGCTGATCCAGGGTGAGCTTAATGAGGATGCCCGTCGGGCCTGCGACCTTGACGAAGGACTCCAAAAATGCGAACCAGAAGTGTGCCTGGGGGCCTCCGCAG